AAAGAAAGAAACAACTAAAATGCAGATAAACAGACACTGACGCACGGGTCCGCCCCTTTGGAATGGGGGTCGTTTGGCTTCTTTTGCTAGTCTGCAATGCTCCCATACCCAGAGACATAGGCAAGCATGTTAGCCTGATGGGTAAATGGACTTAAGAATCAAAGCTCGGCACAGATCGGTTCTCAGACGGGGGTGTAAATGGGGCTATAGTGCCCTATTTAGTGCGGACATTCGGACACAGCTTAAGTAATTTTTTATGTGTGTTCAGTTTTGGCAGAATTCTGACTTCATAATAAAGAAAAATCTACAACTGACAAAATTCTTTATATCAATGTTTAGCAGAAAAAAAAAGAGAAATTAGAAACATGAAGCAGATACCCGTGAAATGGTGAGGGCTTTTTCATGGTACAGGGCTTCTCCAAGCAGCGGCTCTCTGTACGTCTCATCTACGTCAACCATCGCCTGCAAACGAGACGTAACCAAACATCGATCATCTGCTGATCAGACATAAGAAAGATTTGTAAACGTCGGCTCACCATGTTCCAGAATTTATCGAAGGCCACGATGAAGCCGGAGCAAACTCCTCTCAGCCCTTTGAAGGTCCGGATGTGAACTCGGACTCGGATCTTCTCCTGCACGCAGTAGTTCAGCCCCCCCAGAGGACTGTCCTTACACACTGAGGGAAAAAAACCCGCAGGTTAGAGAGAAGTTTTAACGAATCAAGCAGAGACCAGAACAGAAACACTGTAAACAAGGTAAGTAAAGGATGTCATGTTTTAGTTTGAATTTCAGGGCAGAAGAGTCTGAGCAAATCATCTCCAGTTTAATACAAAAGGGCATCAGCTCTATGGCAAGCCGTTTTAACATTAATTTGAATGTACCGCCTTTACATTCAAGCTATCTCTAATTGTTTTATGACTAGACGTTTTAGCGATTTAAGATATCTCTAATTATATTTTGACTAGTCGAAATACCTATTCGAGATATCTCTAATTATATTCGGACTAGTCAAAATACCTATTCGAGATATCTCTAATTATATTCGGACTAGTCGAAATCACGTCAGATTTACCCTCAACTTGTATGAAGACGTCAATTTAAGATATCTAGCATGAATTACTGACTATCTGAAATACAGATTTCAGATATCTACGATTAAATTACGAATAGTCAAACTAATTTTAAGATATCTCGATTTTAGTTTTGACTAGTCATAATTCTAATTAAAGATATCTCAAATGCCACCATAGTCATGATATCTTAAAGGGATAGTTCGGTATTTTTGACATGAATCTCTATGGCATCCCCATCACCAGCGGCATGCAATCACACTGACTTACCCCTGGCAGCGTCCTGTGAGCAGAGTTATCAATGTCTCCCTCCGCGGCGCAAGGAGACATGGCTGTTGTTGGGCTCGCTGTCTGAATGACGGCGCGCACTGATACGAACA